ACCATAGTGTCCCATGGAATAGAGTTTAAAAATACGAGCCATATATCCAAAAAGCTGACCTCACATGGTGGTGTAGAGCTGAGGGTCTCTGAAGAAGCTGCACCCATATAGAAGATCTTGCAGACTGCTTGACTGGCTGAGCAAGAGGACTGCGATTGTGGAGAGATGGAAGATTTCAGATCGGGATCCCAAGCATCTTGGTATTTCTTAGGCTCTTTAGTAGCCACAACTCCTGTATCTGCCATTATAACTTCAGATAAAACTCTCAGAATAAACCACTAAGCTTTGCAGACCTATAAGCATCCACCAAGCTAAGCATGTTTAAGGTAATGGCTAAAACTACAGGAAAGATTTTCTCCCTCTGCTTATAGCCAGCCTACCTGATGACCTACCAAATGTTTGCTAAATGTATTGATTAGGACTTCCCTTGTTTTGTGGCTGTAAAAGTTGCATGGTGGAGTATGTCATACAATGCCACTTCCCAGACCATAGTCACTCCTGTTTGGCTTAGGATAAACTATTTTCTTGTTTACTTTAAAGCACAGTTGTTATTTTACATGGACAATGGTGGCTTCATCTGCATAAAGGGAAGAAAACTCCAAGATGGAGACATTCAAAGGAGGGAACAGCAGTTTACACCACAGGCCTCATTTACCAACTCTCAAGGAGGGGAGAGCTTGATGGAAAGAAGGGCTGTTTTGTTTTTGTTTTTGTTTTTGTTTTTTATGTTGTTGTTTGCATTTACCCCAGGTTCTTGATGCAGGCCTTAGGGAGTCCCACCCTTGCCCTACTCAGGGCAGCTACTGGGTCTTCGGCCATGAAGCAGCCACATCCCACAGTACCATCCATTTGTCACTCCAGATCCTCCGGAGTCCCAAATCTGGGTGGACCTTGCTGGTTTACAAAAGTCCAAGGCAAGTTGATGATGCTGATGAACAGGAAGAGACTGTGAAGTCACCTCAGCCTCAAATGCTCCAAGTTGATTAGTCTTCAATTTCTCAGACTTCAGGAAGACGATGACGCTTGCTTCTCAGGGACAATGGTACCCTAGCAGCTGTCCCTCAGATGAGGGCAAAACAGGCATCAAGTAAAATAAAGGGTTGTGTTTAAACAGTTTAAACAGTGCCCATGCTGGTCTGGGATTGGAACCATAATCTCCCTGTGCCCCACCACTTTTTTCATGGAGTGGGGGCATTCTACTTTGGAAAGAAATAAATAGGATCCTGTTTAGTGATCCRCTTTTTATCCTAGGAATTCATTTCTAATCATTTTGCATCTGACTGTGAGAGCTTATGCCTTGTGGTCTCCAACTCATCAGGTCTTTACTTGATAGGCTCTGCTTCTTTTCTAATGTTTCCCATTATAATAAACTTAACCATTTGGGCASACTTGTATGTGCACTTAGAGTTGTATATGCAGATATTTTGTCACCTGGGGCCCTGGGAGTCAGTCCTCCTGTTGGTTTTTGTCTGGTACTTCTTGCTCTCGTGCAGGCGACTATGGATCACATACTTGACTTCACCAGGCCTGTCAGGAAGATCTTATGGGGCCCATGGTGTAGACAGCAATTCTTTCAAGAAATKCTGCTTCTGTTTCTACTAGATCAAGAGGAAGGTGCCTGAAAGTCATTACCAAGGATTTCTTAGACTGGAATAGCCAGACCAGACAGTGTAATCTGAACCCCACTCATAGAAGCCGGCCTCATTTACCAATTCTCAAGGAGATTTGTGCCTCCATTCAGAGCCCATGCTGACATCCAAGGCTTCAGGGGCCCTTCCTTGCCATTCCACTGTGTTTCTGGGGAGGGTCCCCTCTGCCATGTCTCCCCCAGGGTTTGGCTTCTGAGCATGAAGCATTATGCTGGAGTCTGGGGTCTGTGAGCCAACTATCATGSTGTCTGAATTTCAGTTCCTTGTTTTTGGTTTCTAAAGATTTTCCTCACTTTAAATTCAGATTTTAAAAAAAGATAGTTGAGTACAGGAGGCTGATGAAAGAGGATCACAAGTTCAAAGCCAGCCTCAGCAACTTAGTGAGATGATAAGCAACTCAGTGAGACCCTGTCTCAAAATAAAATACAATAAAAGGGCTGGGAATGTGGCTCAGGGGTTAAGTTTCACTGAGTTCAATATCTGATGAGAGAGAGAGAGAGAGAGAGAGAGAGAGAGAGAGAGAGAGAGAGAGAGATCTACTATTAGTGGACAGCTTTTAAATTTAAGATTTCCCAGCCTGTATAGTACTCCATTAGAAATGGAGTTTGAAAATAAAATTCTGCAGTACAGTAAATGACTTTCCACTCTCTTGAAATGTGGAATTTGAGAATTATGTTTTTGACCAAAAGAAGAGCCTAGAACCATCCCATGATTTTTTTTTCTTTTTAAAATTCTTTTCRTAGTTGTACACAGACAGCATGCCTTTTATTTTATTTACTTATTTTTATGTGGTGCTGAGGATTGAACCCAGTGCCTCACACAAGCTAGGCAAGTACTCTTCCACTGAGCTATAGCCCCAGCCCCCATGAAATGTTTTTTCACAATACATTTTCCTTTTCTCACACCTTGATCCCATACTTTTCAGAAATTGATTAGAGATTTTGTTATGTTCCACCAAAATGCATATGTTGAAGTCTTAACATCTTAAATAGTGTGTCTTTAAAGAGGTAATTAAGTTAAAACTAGGTCAGATCCTGATCCAATAACATTGATGTCCTTATAAGAAGTGGGTACAGTGGTGAATGCCTATAATCCCAGTGACTTAGGAGGCTGAGGCAGGAGGATTGTGAGTTCAGAGCCAGCCTCAGCAACTTAATGAGGCCCTAAGCAACTCAGCAAGACTTTGTCTCTAAATAAAAACATAAAAAGGGCTGGGGATGTGGCTCAGTGATTAAGTGCTCCTAATCCCCAGTACCCCTCTCCCAAAAAGGAAGAGATGCAGGGAATGCATATGCACAGAAAAAAAGGCAGAGAGAATAGCCAACTGCCAGCCAAAGAGAAGCCTCAGGAGAAACCACACCTACCCACACCTTGATCCTGGACTTGCAACCTCCAGAACTGTGAGGAAAAAAGGTCTTCGTATTCTGTTATGGCATCTCTAGCAAACTCATTCAGGTGCCCATTTAAAAATAATCTCTGAATTATTTCTACTTGGCAGACATAAAACCTTTGAACTGTAACTCACAGATGTATTCCATAAACTAACTAAAAGTAAAAAGGGCTGTGAAACCAACTACAAAGAAAATTGATACTTAGCATCAACGTGACATTTGAAACAATCAAGTCTCTGGAAGCACTGTGGAAAGGCCTGTCCATTATTCTATTGAAATAAGGGCACCCAACATTAGCACTTGCATTTAATTCTGTTTCTAAATACAATTAACTTCATTAATCTCTCTCAGTATGTYTGGTGATTAATGCAGCAATAAGAAGTGACAATAATAATAATCCAAGGCTGAAACAGACTAATTTTAAATTGCAATCCTGCCCCAAAATATGACAGCACAAATTTATTGTGATTGTTGTATCCATGTCTCAAGAACTTTCCATTGGTAAAACTATAATGGCAGAATTATTTTCTCAGAAATCTTTGCAGAATTATTTGTCAATCTAGATATTTTTGTGAAACATTAGGAAAAAAACTCGAATTTTTGTAGTGGTGGTTGTTATTCAAACAAGAGCTTCTAATTTAAGGAAGAACTACATACCTCTCAGCATAAGTGCTATGCAGAAGAGAAGTGCATGATCCTGGGGCCAGACCCTCGGGCTCACTTCTGCCCCTGCCTGTGTGTTTGTGTGCATGTATGTGCATGTGGGTGCACAGGCATCTGCACGTGTGTGAATGTGCCTAGCAAGCTGTCAAAGCTCTCTGTGCCTCAAGATCCGCCTCTGTGAAGAGAGAGTCAGTATTTCTCCTCCCACAGACAGCTGAGGACTATGTGAACTGGCACCCTGGAAATACCTCCAGCAGGCCTGGTACACAGAGGTGCGTAGCTGTTAGCTTGTCTCACCACCCGGGGTCTCAGTCAGCTTTTCATTTCTGTGACCAAAGCACCTGACAAGAACAAGTTTAGAGGAGGAAAAGTTTATTTGAGGCTCACAGTTTTAGAGGTCTCAGTCCCTAGATGGCCAACTCCATTCCTCAGTGCCGTCAGGGCCCAAGGCAAGGCAGCACACCATGGCAGATGGGTGTTGTGGAAGAGAGCAGTTCAGGACCACAGTTCTAGAGGTCTCAGTCCCTAGATGGCCAACTCCATTCCTCAGTGCCGTCAGGGCCCAGGGCAAGGCAGCACACCATGGCAGATGGGTGTTGTGGAAGAGAGCAGTTCAGGACATGACCAGCAAGGAGGAGAGGAGAGGAGGGGGGCGGGGGGTGGAGAGGGAGAGAGAGTGAACACATGCGCTCCCCCCTCATGGACAAAATATAGTCCCCAAAGGCACACCCTCCAGCCACCCACCTCCTCCAGCCATACCCTACTACCAGCCTGCAGTCAACACCTAGTTAATCCCTAACAGGGGGTTGATGCCTTGTCATTTCACCTCTAAACTTTCTTGTATTACCTCACAGGAGCTTTTGGGAGACACTTCCAAACTAAACCATGACAGGCAGGTTTTACAAATTAGAATTTTGTGCTTAGAGACCTCTACAGTGCTCAAATCCTTGGTGCCTGAATGTCTCCTCCCTGTGGTGACAGCATCAACCTATGACCTCTGGGTCATTGAGGAATGAAGGAGAGGCCTGCAAAGTGCTTGGCCACTGTGCTGCTGCTGATCATGTGGCCAGCTGACCATCACCAGGTAGTTACCACTACCTCACCACCTAAGCAGGGAAGCTTCCAGAGACTCTGGGATCCTAGACAATCCTCCCACTTTCTGCTTTCTTTGCTATCACTGTGCAGGCACTGCCCTGGGCATTCCTGTGCATGGTCCCACTTCATCAGCTCCCCATGGGGCAGAGCCTGAAGCAGCAGCCACCATGCACAAGCAGACAGCAGTAAAGCAGGATGAGACCCAGGATTTGCTCCCCAATCAGATCTTCCTACGCTGGAGATCATTCCAAGATGCAAAGCATGGAGGCTCTTCAGTGATGTAGGCTGGGGCCTACAGGTAGGTCCAGAGTACTCTATCCCCTCCAGGAGGGAACTGTGAGAGGAAGTCAC